AAACATTTCTTAAGATAGAAATCTGACCACCATTTTTTCAAATAAGTGAAACTGAAGAGAGATGGGTTTATAAGAAATAAAATGCAACTAGATTGTTCTGTCCTGGCCAGTGTTCTTATTCCAGTAATCTTTTCTTTTTTATGATAAGCATATCAAGTATTTGAACATCACTATTTTGTTACATAAAGAGTGATGGAGGCCAGGCATGGTAGCTCACGCTTATAATCCTAACACTCTGGGAGGCCAAGGCAGGCGGATCCTTTGAGCTCAGGAGTTTAAGACCAGGCTGAGCAAGAGAATCAGGTCAGCTAATAACAGCCAGGTATTGTGGCAAGCACCTGTAGTCCCAGATACTCTGGAGGCTGAGGCAAGAGAATTACTTGAGCTCAGGAGTTTGAGTTATTGTGAGCTATGTGACACTATGGCACTCTACCGAGGGTGACAAAATGAGACTATGTCTCAAAAAAAAAAAAAAAGTGATGGCCCAGGAATCTGAATCTTGGGATTCTGGTCTCAGCTCTGTCATCAAGTTGTTATGTGACTTTGAGGGGATCACTTCATTACCCTCATTATCAAATATGTCTAAGAAGATACACCTCTAGGCTGGGCATGATGGTTCACATCTATAATACTAGCACTCTGGGAGGCCAAGGCGGATGGATTGCTTGAGCTCACAGGTTCAAGACCAGCCTAAGCCAGAGCAAGACCTCATCTCTAAAAATAGGTGTTGTGGCACCTGTAGTCCCAGCTACTGGAGAGGCTGGAGAATCACTTAAGCCCAAGAGTTTGAGGTTGTTACAAGCTATCATGCTATAGCACTCTACAGAGGGCAACAAAGTGAGACTTGGTCTCAAAAAAGAAGACCTCTAAACATGTTTTGGATAACAAGAGTTTATAATATGGGCTCAACGCCCATAGCACAGTGGTTACGGCACTGACCAAATGCACCAAGGGTGGCGGGTTCAAACCCCACCTGGGCCAGCTAAATGACGACAGCTGCAACAACAACAACAACAAAATAGCCAGGCGTTCGTGGTGGGCACCTGTGGTCCCAGCTACTTGGGAGGCTGAGGCAAGAAAATCGCTTAAGCCCAAGAATTAGAGTTTGCTGTGAGCTGTGATGTGATATCACTCTACCGAGGGGGACATAGTAAGACTGTCACAAAAAAAAAAAGATTCTATAATATGAACTGTGTTATGTTACATGTCTATTATAATCCTTAACTTATTTTGCTAAAGTTATTTTTACCACAACAGGAAAAGAGAAATGGAAATTCACAAACCAAAGTTATCTGCCTTTCTCATTTTTTATTCTAAAATAGAACATTCAGCCTGAAAAGCTAAACCCTTGATAAAATCATTATTAAAGCTTTTATTCACATGCCTATGCTCTGACTCTTACTAATTTTATATGTCAACTAGATTAGGCTAAAGGATACCCAGATGGCTAGAAAAAATTTCTGAGTGTGTCTGTGAGGTGTTTCCAGAAGGGATTAGCACTTGAATTTGTGAACTGATTAAGGCACATGGCTTTACCCAATGTGAGTGGGCATTATCCAATCTGTTGAGGGTTCAAATAGAACAAAAAGGCAGAGAAGGGCAAATTTGCTATCTCTTTTTTTGCTAAGACATCCATCTTCTTACCTTGGACATTGGTGCTCCTGGCCTTCAGATTTGGACCAGTACTTAAACATTGTCAGTCCCAGCCCTACTCCTTTCTACCCCCAGTTCTCAGGCCTCCAGACTATACTGAATTACATCACAGGCTTTCCTGGTTCTCTGGCTCACAAACTGCAGATCATGGGAACTTTTCAGCCTCCATAATCATGTAAGCCATTTCCCATTTTGTATATGCATAAGACACATACACTATTCTGTTTCTCTGGAAAACTCTTAACACATCATCTTAGATGGTAACCTTCTAGAACAGTGGTTCTCAAACTTCCTAATGCTGCAGCCCTTTAATACAGTTCATGTGGGTCACGACCCACAGGTTGAGAACCGCTGTTCTAGGAAAGGAAGAGGGGCTATTAGAGTCCACCATGGAATCCCCAAGAATATTCCACTATTCCATTTCCTTGATTATATTTAATTCTATCAAGAAGGAAATAAACTTAGTGATATATTTGCTTACAGACAAGACATGTAATAGTATTTTTTTTTTTTGAGACAGAGTGTCATTATGTCGCACTTGGTAGAGTACTATGGCATCACAGCTCACAGCAACCTCCAGCTCTTGGGTTTGGGTGATACTCTTGCCTCAGCCTCCCAAGTAGCTGGGACTACAGTCGCCCGCCACAATGCCCGGCTATGTTTTTGTTGCAGTTTGGCCTGGGCCGGGTTCAACCCACCACCCTCAGTATATGGGGCCATCGCCCTACTCACTGAGCCACAGGCACCGCCCATAATAGAATTTCTTGATATTTGGACAAAATGATGAATAGGAGCTGAATTTGATTAGATTTATAATTGGCTATGTGACTAGACTCAAAGTGAGAGACTCGATCCCTAAATCAACTTTTCTTCCATAGCATTGACAGAGTGAGATTACTTAGTGCTATGATATCATTCACATCCCCTCTTTCTAACATGTCTAGTCTAATGGTAAAAAGAACCAAAGTAGAGCATAAGTTGTGAATTATCCGTCACAGAGATTATTTTCAGTCTAATGCTTGGAGGGAAATTTAAAACTGCAGTTATTTTGTTTTGTTTTTGAGACAGTCTCACTTTGTCGCCCTGGGTAGAGTGCTATGGTATCATAACTCACAGCAACCTCAAACTCTTGGGCTCAAGCGATCCTCTTGCCTCAGCCTCCAGAGTAGTTGGGACTATAGTTGCATGCCACAGTGCCTAGCTATTTTTTAGAGACAGTGTCTCACTCACTCTTGCTCAAGCTGGTCTCAAAATCCTGAGCTCAGGTGATCCACCCACCTCCACCTCCCAGAGTGGTAGGTTTACAGGCATGAGCCACTGCACCCTGCTATTAAAACTACAGTTGGGCAGTGCCTGTGGCTCAAAGGAGTAGGACACCGGCACCATATGCCAGAGGTGGCGGGGTTCAAACCCAGCGCCGGCAGAGGAAAAAAAAAAAATTCTTTAATAAATTTTAATGTACCCTTGCAAAAAAAAAAAAAAACCTACAGTTGACCCTTAAACAACATGAGTTTGAACTCCACAGGTGCATTTTCACATGGATTTTTTTCCTCTGCCACTTTTGAGACAGAAAGACCAACCTGTACCTCCTCTTAATGAATAGCAAATATATTTTCTCTTATGACTTTAATATTTTTCCACTTGCTTTATTATAAAACTAGCATTTAAATATATATGACATACAAAATATGTGTTAATCAAATGTTTATATTATTGGTAAGGCTTCCAGTCGCCACTAGACTATTAGTAAAGTTTTGTGGGAGTCAAAAACTTACACAGATTTTTGACTATCAGGGAGCCCATAATTCTCACAATGTTAAAAGGTCAACTACGTGAAAATATTCAGTAACCATCCGGTTCTCCCTCGGCCCCTGCCGCGGGTCTCAGCAGCTCGGGCGGCCAGGCAGCGCAGCTTCAAGAAGGCCCTCGGCGCGCCGCGGCCTGCAGGCACCCGGCAAGCGCCTTGCCCTCCATGGAGATGCCTAAGAGGAAGGTCTGCTCTGCCGAAGGCGCTGGGAAGGAAAAGCCCAAGAGGAGGTCAGCGCGGTTGTCAGCTAAACCTAGGGTGACCAGGTTTTAACATTTGTAAAGCGGGACAGCTTGGC